CTTGTATCTAAAACTAGAAATATAAAATGTAACTCTGAGGGCCTATTGTAATTGTGTAAAGTGTTAATGATGGTTTGGAATCTTGATGACTCCCATTGTCTGCAGATGGCTGTATTTACCTGTGAGTCTTCCTGTTTATGTGTTTGCAGGCAAGCGAGTAATGAAGCCAGGCAGTGTCATGTGATCATGTCACCTGAACTGGAATCCAGCTTTAACCTGGTGCTTTTCCAGTGAGGGGGGGTGGAAACCCAGAGAGACAAAGGATTCCCGCCTTATGCAAAAGATATATAAAGGGGGGGAAGAGAAGAGAGAGAGAAGCCATCATGAAGAATCCCCTAGCTACCACCTGAGCTGCAACAAGAGCTGTACCAGGGGAAAGAATTGTGCCCAGGCCTGGAAGGTGTCCAGTCTGAGAAAAACTTACTGAAACATCTCTGAGGGTGAGGAAATTATCTGTATTCAGTTTGATTAGGCATAGATTTGCGCATTTTATTTTATTTGGCTTGGTGACTTACTTTGTTCTGTCTGTTACTACTTTGAACCACTTAAATCCTACTGTCTGTATTTAATAAAATCACTTTTTATTTAGTAATTTACTCAGAGTATGTATTAATACCTGGGGGAGCAAACAACTGTGCATATCTCTCTATCAGTGTTATAGAGGGCGAACAATTTATGAGTTTGCCCTGCATAAGCCTTATGCAGGGTAAAACGGATTTATCTGGGTTTAGACCCCATTGGGGGTTGAGCATCTGAGTGCTAAAGACAAGCACACTTCTGTGAGCTGTTTTCAGGTAAACTTGCAGCTTTGGGGCAAGTGATTCAGACCCTGCGTCTCTGTTGGAGCAGATGGGAGTGTCTGGCTCAGCAAGACAGGGTGCTGGAGTCCTGAGCTGGCAGGGAAAACAGAAGCAGGGGTAGTCTTTGCACATTGGGTGGCAGCTCCCAAGGGGGTTTCTGTGATCCAACCCGTCACAGTAACTATCGCAATGGGAGAAGTTCTCCTGTGGACATAGTGCTGTCTACACAGAGGGTTAGGTTGGTATAACTATGTCACTCGGGTGTGGATTTTTCAAACCCATGAGCAACATACGTATACTGATATAGGTCTGTAGTGTAGACCTGGCCTAAGCAGGTGAAGCAAACAGAGAGATGTGTCAACATTCCCAAGGTCATGTAGCTAGTCCTCAGCACAGCCAGAAATAAAATTAGTAAGTCCTTACTACCACCCTTCTTGCACCAACCAGTAGACCGCACCAACTTCTAGTTCAGAGTATGTTTTTTTCTGCTATAGTTTTAAGACCCCTGGAAAGCAAGGTTTTATTGAGAACCCTAAAAACAACACACTTGTAGTAGTGCTGCACAATGTCTTTTCTAATTTTCCAAAACTATGGTTTGTAGCCACAGCCCTGCACTGGGTGTGGCATGGATGCGCACACCAAGTCAGCAGCAGCTCTGGCAAGAATATGCCACAGGAAGCTCTGAGCATATTGTGCCTCAGGGAGCACAATGCTTTCTGGTGCTTACTGCCCCGCCTGTCAAAGGGGTTTGTTGTCCATTCCCCTCTCTGCACTGGATAGCTCAGTTTTCTTTCCTTTCAGCTCCCTGTGCAGGACAGCGATGTTAGGCCTTGCCTATTCTAGGAAAATGTATCAGTTTAACTAAATGAGTTTGTTTAAAATGTTACCAAGTAAATTATCAACTTAAGCTAAATCAATATAACCAAGGGCTAAACTGGTTTAAGTACATCTACATTACAGCTTTGCACTGGTTTAACTAGACTGATTTTTAAATCCAGTTAGTTAAACAAGCACACTTTCCTAGGCCACCTTTACCCTACAGAGGCTGGGTCTACACTACCCGCCTGAATCGGCAGGTAGAAATCGACCTCCCGGGGATCGATGCTCTTACTCCACCAGCGGAGGTGGGAGTAAGTGCCGTCGACGGGAAGCCGCAGAGGTCGATTTTGCCACCGTCCTCACAGCGGGGTAAGTCGGCTGCGATACGTCGAATTCAGCTACGCTATTCACGTAGCTGAATTTGCGTATCTTAAATCGACTCCCCCCTGTAGTGTAGATGTAGCCAGAGACTATAGCAGCATTGTTATGGCGCCATAGCAATTCCAGCATAACTCTGTAGTGTAGACGCAGCCTATGAGGGAAAGGGTTTTTCCATGGCTGTAGGAATGGCACCTCCCTGAGTGATGGTAGCTAGTTCAATGGAAGCATTCTTCCACTCAGCTCGCTGTGTCAACGCTGGGGGTTAGGTCGGCATAGTTACAGCACTACGGAGTGTGGATTTTCCACACCCCTGAGCACCATAGCTATGTTGATCTAAATTTTTGGTGTATACCAGTCCTTAGTATAGATAAGGCCTTAGTCCAGTGATTCTCAAACTTTTGTACTGGTGACCCCTTTCAAACAGCAAGCTTCTGAGTGTGACACCCCCCCTCATAAATTAAAAACACTTTTAAATATATTTAACACCATTATAAATGCTGGAGGTGAAGCAGGGTTTGGGGTGGAGGCTGGCAGCTTGCGACCCCCCCCCCCCATGTAAGAACCTCACGACCCCCTGAGGAGTCCCACCTCCCAGTTTGAGAACCCCAGAGTTCTGATGCTCCCTGAGTGCAGGGACTCCCATTGTGAGTGATTGATTGGGTGGGGAGAATGGGGAAGAGGCCCCTTGTCTTTTCTCTTTTTCTCTCTCTCTCTCTTATATGAAGTTGCACAGGAGCCAAAAGCAATCCAGCTCCAAATGATGATGGTTATAATCTACTTAGATTGTAAACTCCTTGAGGCAGGGACCATCTTTTTGTTCTGTTTGTACAGCACCTAGCACAATAGGGTCATGGTCTGTGAGTGGGGCTCCTAGGCATACAGCAATACAAATAATACATAATAATAAAATTGCTAAGAAATCTTTTCCCACATAAGTTCTCCAACATGATAAAATGAAGTGAAAATATTTTTCAGTCTTTTTAGACAAGGGTCTCTTCAGGACAGAGATTGTCTTCCTGTCTGCTTGGAAATACCCTAACATGCATTCTGCACTACTACAATCATCTGTAAATCATTGCAAGAAGAATTAATGACCTCACAACCTGCTTTTGGTTTTTACTAGATCTCCGAAAGACTTTTGAACAGGAGCCCCTGGGGAAAGAAGTGTCTTTGGAACAGGAAGTCCTGCTCCAGTGCCGTCCACCTGAAGGCATCCCAGTAGCTGAGGTGAGTGACAACAGCTTCCTGCGCTAGCAATTGCCACTTAGTTGTCCTAACTGAGGCCTAATATGTGGCTAATGGTGCAGTGAATTAGGGTATGGCATGATGAATGGATGGTAATGGAGACCTAACTGCCTGCTGCTGGTAGAATAGATTGATTGGGAACTGATTAATGACTTTGGAGTCAATTAGAATGCCCCACTGGGCAGAGCCACAGGCAGTTCAGTTTTATTTTTTGTTCTCTTTCATGAAACCAGAACACAGCAGTATTATATCTGGCATCAGTAGGACAAATACCTGGTGGGATTTATGAATGCAACCCTTTTTTTTTCCTTGTCTTTTTTTAAAGTGTAAGTAATTGCTGTCCTTGAGGCAACTGGCTTTCATGTCTTACTAAAACATTTATTTTTAATTTGCAGTATTTCATTTTCCTCACATGTTGGTGCACACACACTCACACACAGACTGCATAGCACAGTACAAGGGCCCCTACCATGATCTGATAAGGGACCTCTCAAAGCTGAAACAGGGTGGTGTGAAGGAAAATAAGCCATCTTCTAACATGGCTTATCTGTTCCATCTAACAGCAATTAAAAACACAGGCGAGGGTATTCTGTTTTCTTACTGGCAGGAGTAACCCTGCACTATTTAGCAAAAACTGTGCACACAGGCGGTGATGGGCTCCTCCGTGAAAAGGAGTTCACCTCAGCATGGTGGTGGGGCTAGTGGAACAGGGCTTTGAACTCATTCCTCACAGGACGGGGGTTTCAGAATCACAGGGGGACCGCTGAAATTCTAAATTCAACTCTGCTGATTAGTAGAAAAAATTATTGTTAATGATGGTAATTCCCTAATCAGAATTCTCCTCATTCTTTCTCTACCATGCTCAGAAGAAACTGATGCCAATTTGCATTAGGATAAGTTAGTCTGTCATGGTTAAGTAGCAAAGTGGTTGTCATTCACTGTTGATGACTGATTTCTCTGGAGATCATGCTTAACATATTACATCCCTATCAAACTAGATCTTGGATCTAATCAGAATTGCAAAAAAATGTCGACAAACAACAGAAGGAATAATTAACATAGTGGATTACACACACACACATATATATTTTTCAGTACATTTTTTTCTTTCCTCTTTAAGATCCCGAAAGTTCAAAGAAGTGATTGAGTCTGGCGAGCCAGCTCTCTGACAGCCATGATATTAATCAGTTGACTTTCCTCAAGAACTTATCAACTTTTGTTGCTTCCTTAGCATCCTGCCAACCTACTGTTGTGCCTTGACAAGTGTATTTATAACAGGGCATGTCATATCGCAGATGCTCTCGGATAGTGGGGGACTTCATTACCTTCGCTGGGAGCTGAGCTTGTTCATGAGTGGCAGTTAGTATGTGTGCAGTGTTACACACAGCTCTGCACTTCTCAGTGACTTAACAGCTAGTTCATCTCTTCTGTCAAAAAAAACAGAAAGCCTGATTACGTGGAGGAGAGACAAACAGCATGAGTTAGCATGATGAGTAGAAAGGGGGCGCTCGTCTCTGTCACAAACATTATGGAAAAGGCATTAGCCTTTTTAATTGTTTTTTTCTTAAATCAGATTAAATGTATCCTCCTTCCACTGAACTGCTTTAAAGGCTAATATGCCCTGGTTCCCGTGAAGAAACTGATCTCTGAAAAGATTCTCTGTGAGCTGACCATATAATAATTGCTCTTTTTCATACTCCCTAACAGACAGTTCACTTTGTTAAGTAGTAAAGATTCATGGCTGCAAGCTAATTGGCTGTGAATCTTATTTGCACCATGGTCGGGGCAGACACCAATTAACATTTGGCAGGCTCAGGAGCCATACCCTGTCTGACATTCAAAAGAACTATTCTTAATGTTTCTTCCCCCCCCCCCCTCCCTTCTCACTTTTGAAGTCAGGAGGGAGATCAAACACCCAGATTGGAGAGCAGCCTAATGCAGCTTCTTTGTAGACTCTTTCCAACGCTATTAAAAGAACAAAGACCTGAACACTAATGAATAGGAATACCCTAATGTGACACTTTATTACTGGCACTTGCTGAAGCTGGTATGATAAATTTAAAAAATGGAAAGATGAAAGGTAACTTGGTGGGTTGAAGGATTACATGATTATTTTAATTTAGAGATGAATGCTTTCTTTGTTTAAGACTTCGTTTATTTGTTCGGAGAACTTTCTGATATGATGATATAGTTAACCGAGAAAGAAGGGACTCCAGGAAGGCAGGCAATCAGCTGTTAGGCTCTCTCACATTATAGAAAGAATGTTTTGATTCCTGACATCCCAAGTCTGTCTGGGTAATGTAAACACAACAGCTATTAGCAATGTTTCCAGATTCGATGAGGCAGACAAGAGTACCTCAAATTATTCCTCATTACAGGGACTGCTTCTGTGCCCTAGAGACAGATTACCATGCTGTCCAATCTAGACCAATTGGTGACCCACATTTTCTTGCATTTTTCCAGCTTTCGAAATGGTGAATAGTTAAAAAAAAAATCCTATGTTGCAGGTAACATAATTCACATTGATATCACTATATAACCCGGTCATTGAAATTTTTGCTTTTGTTTTTTTCTCTTTGTTTTAATTTGTATTAGGAAGTGCTGGAAATAACCCACTGTTAGGAGGATAGCGAATATATCCCTGTCAATGCAAAGAGGATTTAGACATGTAATTCCTAGCACGGTAAATGGCAGTTAACCACATCAAGCCCCTGTGGAGCAATGGCAGGACAGATCCTTTTGTTTTTAGTAGGTTGAGCCATGTCACAGTTTTTATCCCAGCCCCTCGCCCCTTCCCCCAGGGAGGAAGAAAGACTAAGATAGAGATGAGGCAGCAAAGCTTTTAAAGAGCACTTACCAGTGCTTCAGCTCCACTAAGGCATCATGCGCATTAGAGTAGATTGAAACTATAGACACTTAAAAAGCCCAAGATCCAAATACAAGGGTGTGTGTTACAACACAATGCTCTGAAGGTCTGAGGTCAAACCAAAATTCATCCTGCTTGCTCACTGGGGACCAGGAAAGGCAACTGATGATTTGTTCAGTCACTATGGAAATCAAATCAACTTCTCTATGGCTGTATACCCTGACCACCAACTAAGAACAGCAGTAGTGTGCCAGCTGCACTCTGGCAGGTTGCAGAAGGAGAACTGATGCAGTAGGGAAAATGAGCAGTGACATGGCAAAAATAACACCAAAAAACAACAGTTCTGGCTCTTTCTAGGTTTCCAAAGCATTGCAGCACCTCCAAAGCAATGCTTAATTGTGTGCATTAGGGCTTCGGTAAGGATGGGAAACCAGTCCACATGGGGAACGTTACATTTTAGAATCAAACTCACACCAAACCTTTCAAGCGTTCTGCAATGTCTGGGTAAGAGTTGGTTATTTCCTGTCTGTGCCCCATACAAGCAGTGGAAATGCTAAAATACCATAAGCGAGATTCTTATGAGATTTCTGCACATAACTAAAGCAGGCAAATTCATTCCTGCCGTAACTCCATTGAAATCACCTGGGAGAGGAATCAGAAAAGAAGCAGCAAAATCCATTGCTCTGTATTTATGCCACATTATATCATACTTTTCCTCAATTGAGACGCTGGGTTATACCGAGATAAAAGATGATCAGCTAAAGAGCATCTGAACTGTTGGATACTTATTTAAACAAATAAGGCTTTTTGAGATTTGCATTTGGCCATCACTAGGCATTAGGGGCCTGATTTTCAGAGATGCTGAGAACCCTGAACTCCAGTCAAGTCAATGAGATCTGCAGGCGTGTAGCACTTCTGAAGATCAGACAGTTCCAGTCCTCTGGATTCCATCTGAAGCCTCAGCATTAATTCCGCCTCCTCTTGGCATGTGGACTCTTTCAGGCATCTCTGAAAAGCCAAGAAAGGAGCACATTCTTGATAGGGGCACATACTGGGATTCTCCCAAGGTAATGCAGCAGAATTATTAGCAATTAATCCCTTTGCTCATTTAATTTGTTCTTTGAAAGATGCCAGTATCATATTGTGAATGAGAAATATACTCAGAGACATGCAGCCCCATCAAATTAGCTCCTTGCAATAGGTTATAGATCAAAACATCAATGAGATGTAAGATTAGTTAATATGCCATAAGCAGCTAAATGAAGTTTTGCATTGAAATGTGTGATTTGCTGCACCTTCAACAAGGAGATAATTGCTTTTCTAATTATAATTGGGCATAGCATACAAACTTGGTGACCCAGCAGAGCTTAAAAACTGGCACTATATTTATCTATCTTTGCATGTTTAATTAGGAAGGAGAAGAAAAAACCCATCAAGGAGTCAAGTGGCAAATGGAGGAGTTGTTTTGCCGAGTCAAAATGAGTGTGGTGTAGACTTTATTCGGCTGGTGGCAACTAGGGACTTTTCCAAATAGGCAGCATCAGGTGGCTGCTCCATCTAATTGATTATTAATATGACTGCTGTTTGCTTTGTTTCATGAGAGAGCTTATGTTTTGCTGCAGTTATTCCTTAATTGGAACTTCATGTGTATGCATTTCCATGCAAGTTCATTGTCATCCAAGCAGTGTTTTATATTCCCTGCAGGAAAGTGAGCTTGTAGAAAGGAGAACAGCGGGGTTGATGGCCATGAATGCGGATCAGCTGGGAAATGGCATTGTCATTTGTGGCCCCTTGTGATGCATGATGGAATTACCTGTGGGTCAGGTATCAATAGGGAATTGGCTGGAAGGGACCAAGTTGATTTGTGACATGTAAGGAGGCACATCTCTCCATCTTCCTTTACTTACCAAATACTAACAAGGACTATTTGCAAATTCCCTAGCTCCTACTTTCAGTTGTACTAATAGGTGATAAGGGCATAGACAACCTTTTTCCTTGCCCGCAGTGCAGACGCAGAATTCACTCCCGAGGCTAAAGTCCTCCCTCATTTACACCAGTGCAAATCCACTGGTAGCCAGTGGGGATGCGCTGGTGTAAGTGTGGGAAGAATTTGTCC